TTAGAATGCAACAACTTTTCACATTTTCTCCTACCTTATACAGCAATTTTCTTATTCAAAATCACACTCAATTACCTTGCTCCAAACCTTAGAGTGGATACACTCTCTGATGAATTAGATAGACTCGGTGAGCAACAGCAAAGCAATGCAGTCTGGGAGCTTCCTCCCTGGATGTAAGGAAAAAAAAAAAAGATTAAAAGCAAGAAATAGCAATGTACTTTCATTTCTTCCTATTACAACATTGTACTTAAAGAAATCTACCTTTTATAGCAATGTCATCTATAAACAAAGAAATTTTAACTGTTATAATCGGTAGATTGTTCAAAGTACAATGTCCTAAACCCTAATAAAATAAATGAATGTACAAATGCTGTAATAGAAAGAAATGAAAAGATGATAGCCATAAGATTGTACTAACAAGAGCATCTTGTAGGAGGCGAGTGAGCTTTGAATCACGAAAAGGGATGTGTAATGATTTGGCATGTTGACTAGAAGTCAAAGCACTGATCACATTTCCAAGTGCAGAAAGTGATTTGTTAATGGTTTTGGCTTCTTCTAGAACTTTCCCTTCAGCACCTGTCTTCTCTACCTTCTCAGATCCAGCCAAATCCACAAGAACAACCTTTCCACTGCTCACCCTGTTCAGTTAATAATTTCAGAAATGTAAATATGATTTCAGTAAACTGTAAATTCTCAAAGAAATCATAAGACCTTTTCTCATTTGTTACTTCTTTCTGAATAGTAAACATGTAGATGCAATGACTTCTACTGCTTCCCGCATTCATTTCTACATGAGTTCACAAGTCAATCAAACAACTTTCACAAGAGAGAGAGAGAGAGAGAGAGGGAGGGAGGAATACGAGTCTCTCCAACAGCTCTGTTAGCTATCCCACCCTGCATTAGTCATTACCAGGGTTAAGAAGTAAAAGATAACTGAATATTTAGTTTTTTTAAAGAGTATTTTTGGACTAGAAAACTTATAGTAAAATTTTGATATTGATCTTACACATAAGACTTTTAATGCTTCTTCGCCATCTAGTATAGGGATCTGTAGAAGGGTAGTTTCATTATCTGTTAAGCTGATAGGGAAATGCAATTGATTGGAAGATTCCATATGAAAGATATTGAAACTTACTTCTGTTACTCCAGACAACAATATCCCATGTGATTTATGCTCTTTGATCTGTATGTTGTCCTTGGATAAATCAAAAAGGTCTCTGCCAGAAACACTCCCAATTGCAATTATAAAACAGAGTTGAAGAGGAAAGAGAAAGACACAAAAAGATAAGATCAGTTGCTAACCTAACTCTCTCCATATAAATTTCCACCTGCATGTATAACACAATAATTAAATTGCATCTAGAAAAGGATTCTTGAAAACAATGTCTCATATTCTAGTTCAAATGGAAAACAAGAAGAGGTTTCTTATACCATTGAAAGTTTGATCTTGTAAGCAGTTGCTTCACCACAAGCGTTTATAGCATCAAAGAGTTCATCTACCACTCTTGGTAGTAGTCCCTTCTTAAGGTTGTCAGCTTCCAAAATGTTGGCTCCCTGGTCAAAAAAAGTCAAATATGGACTTTATTTAAAACAAGTGTTATTGAAACATTGTATTTTACTGTAATGCACATCACCTCCATAGTAAAAGTCTTCCCTGCTCCTGTCTGTTAAAGTGCATAAGAGAATTCATTAATATCATATTAAAGGTGAGGGATATCTTTCAAAGCTATTTGAACAATAGAGATAGCTAATGAAAAGCATATAACAAGCGAAAAGGATTAATTGCAGTTCTTATTTGGCTTAATTAATAGTGACACAATCACAGAACAGATTACTGGAGTTGATTGAATCGGCAATAGCAATAACCAGATAACAGAATACAATTATCATAAAGTTCAGATAATTAACTAAACTAGGTATTCCGATTTGTCATTCATCTCTTGAAACGAAAATCAACTGAACATAATTAGCTCATAAGAATTAGATGCGATACATACCTGTCCATATGTGATGATTGTACCATTAATTGAATTAACAGCATCTGTTGCATACAGATGAACATTCAGACCGAGAGTAAATATGCATACGTTACTTCAACAGACTCAAATGATAAGTTACATTCCACCATATCTTCTATATATACGTGTGTGTGTGTGTATAAACAAATCCTAAAACTCATGTATTGAGTGATCTAGACGTAACACGAAGGTTTAGCTCAGATTTACCCAAATTACGATGTTTACCATAAACTTAGAGAAGAACTCAACAAAATATCATAAAATTAAGTAAAATAGTCTAGTAAAAAAGACAAATTAGCACACGATACCTCTAACGATAGGACGAGCCAAAAATTCGTAGACGTCAGCTTGTTCAGAATCTTCATAGAACACCTTATCAAAGCTGAACATATATTGTTCATCTTTCTCGTCCTGACAAAATTAATGAACATTACTTAGAAGGAATAACAGTGTATTGAGTTGCAGTTTACATTATCGCGGAGGAGGATTATAAAACAAAGAAGATCTTCAGCAACCTTGATAGAAAAACTCTGAGAATCGGAGCGTGTAATGCATATAGCTTCTCCATCCTCTCTTAAATTTAGAGGCCTGAATCTCGCGCATACGCAAATGCTTGCCATGATTAAGCGTGTGTTGCTGTTGGAGAGACGATACAACTGCCTTCTGCTACTCTAGTCTCAATATATAAAATTTCAATTTCATCACCACCACCTCTACTACTTCCCGCGTTCCGTTACAATATATCCGGAGTTTTGTGGGTCGGATCGGGTCGGGTCAAGGTTAGGCACGTAAAATTTTAGTTCTAGACCTCTAGTAGTGTTTGATATTAGTTAAATAATATAATATTTTATATTTAAAGTTAAGATGTAATTACTTGACAATATTTTTGCCATGAAACTAGTATTATCCGTTTGTTTAAGTTTTTAATCATTTTTATAATCCCATCATCATTTTGAATAAGATAACAAAGTAAAAATCAAAAACATGTCCCATCGACTTCTTGAATGAGATGAACAAAATAAAAAGACAAAAATGTTAAAAAGAGAACTAAAGTCAAATCAAGAACATAACACGAACCTATATAAAAGTCCTAAAATTAAATAAAAAGCTTGGAGTTTCAAGTTTTGGGGTTATTATTATTTGGATTAAATATGTATTCATTCTACAATGTTTTTTTATATGTTTAATAGATATCAAACTCAAATAAAATATGTAACCATATTTCACTTTTAGTCTACATTATATCTCAAAATTGGTTAACTCGTGAGGATGCGAAAACAAATATTAGTGCATTTTGATGATGCTTATGTTAGGTATTATTCCACATATGAAAATATAGACAAGTTAGCTGAAGAGATAAAAAGAAAGGGGTTGCATCTGTTGAAGGGTTGAACCCAAATTATGGCAGGTAGCTAATCAAATAAATATCTTTCCTCGTTTAACTTCTTATCTTAAAAGCATTGGTTAATCAAAGCTTTCAATTTCTTATTTCTGTTTTAGGTACCTAAGACTCTATGAAGCTCTTGGGAAAATGATTGCACCTCCTAAAAGCAACATACCAATAATAACACCAAAAGAACTACCAGAAGTAGATGGATTTATTTTTGGATTCCTATCAAGATTTGAAATGATGGCTGCTCAATTTAAAAGCACTTCTTGATTCGACTGGTGGTCTTTGGAGAACACAAAAACTAGTTAGGAAGTCTGCTGGTATCTTTTATAGTAATGGGTGTCAAGAGGGTGGCCAAGAAACTACTCCATAATTACCTATTTATCCTTTAAAAATGTAAGAGTATATTACATTTTTGGTTCACATGATACATCGAGTTGTATACAACATCAAAAAACAGGTTGAGACACGAGTTTGATGCTGCTCATTAGGGATGTAAACCGATTCGGAACCGGCCTGAACCGGACCGGAACTGAAAGAAGTAAAAACCAATTAAAGAGTAAACGGGGAACTTTGAACCGAGCCGAATACCGCTAATTGGTTCCAACCAATTCCGATTCTGGTTTTGTTTTCGGTTAAAAAGCTCATCCCTAGTATTCATTATGAGATTCAAGCAGCCGACGCTACATAATAGAGTTTGATGCGCTCAAGGAATGCGACTGATCCATTAGCTTTCTTCAACTTCTGTTTCAAATAAATGAAATCTATCCGAAAATAACACAAAACAATCAATCTTTTATCTTATTTTATTTTATCACGAAAAAAATTACCCTTACAAAAATTCTTAGGGCTGTCCATATATACCATATATAGAGGAAGGTTGACTTGAGATTTTAAAAAAATAAAGATTTTGAGATTTTTTGATTCTTATATAATTATAATTATTCCATAATCATCTATAAACAAATAAATAACCAATGTTCATAAAAACATCAAACCATATAAATAAATGTTATAATTTATCCCCAAAATTTACTATAATCACAATTCATTAATTATCTTATATTGATCTTATTAGGGCAAGAGGAGTGGTCACGTGTGATTTGTGAGTGAAGGTGAGGACACAGGTTTTTACCATTTCACAACCAACCCACCAGGGTATAGAAATGGTGTTCACCGGTGGGTTGGTAGAGAGAGAGAGAGAGGAGGAGAGGGGGGGAATGTGAGGGGCCATACTAATCAGATGCATCGTCTTCATCCGTCCTACCACTCATGACACACCCAACCCACCGACCCTGGAGAGGGTGTTCACACGTCTTCTGAAGTGCCACCTAGGATTTTCACGTGTGGAATTCGTTCCACTCTGGTTAGCCTTATAGTAATAAATTATATACAACACCAAATTCATAGTGGGAAGTAGGGGTAATACTATATTTGATATTAGATTCTTTAGTTGCATTTTTTCTTCTCGAAACCAAACCTTCCATTTTCCAAATCATACTCCACGTATATATCCCGTTGTTGGTAATTTCCTATGATTATCGATGGCCCGATGCTCACATTCAAGCTGCTTGGAAAGATCTTCATACACGTCACTCGGGCTCCACCTGGGAGAAGTAATCGGCCATCGGTAGTGACAATTTCGCACCACCTTTAAAATGAAACGTTAGCTCTAGAAACATCGGTACTCTGCCTCCTATGGCGGCGTAACACATACGGAACCCCTCTGGTGACTCCGCATAAGTAGCTCTATTACAATTGCCTTTGTACATTTGAATTTCAAACTCTTTTTCGACTAGATCGTAGATGGGATTATCCATCGTTGTGAATGTTGACCCATAATCAATGATGGTTCCGCCGTTACCATCAGCTCCAGCCACCAAAACACGATATGGGATCTTAACGCGTTAACCACCAATAGTGATTTTTCGGAGGTTTAAGTAATAGTATTCTTCAAATTGCTCAAATCCTTGCAACTCTGGGTTGCGGAACTTGGTGTAGCTGATAATGCTTCCATCTCCATCTCCGGTGCCGAAATTTGAAGAATCCCGATAGAGAAGAAGCTCGATGCTTACAGTCAAACTGGTGAGAGAGCAAACACTACGAGAATTTTTGGAGATCTATCTGAACGGGTAAAGATTGGAATCCACGCCCAAACCCAACAATACCATCTGGTACTCCTGAAGATAAAATAGAGCATCCGACAGTGAAATCAACGACATCTCCCTCAGGGAAATGCAACGTCTTCGACAACAGTAATCTGGATGTGTTCCCGACGACATACATTTGCTCGTAAAAACAAATCTAGTTGGTGTTGCATGGAATTGGATCATGTGATCCAATAACCCACCCGCATTTCACGTCATTACAGATGAGCTTCTTAGAAGTGGAAGAAAGTTCAGGCACGAATTACATGGGTTTTGGGTTTGGGTTTGAGTTTGGTTTGGTTGATGGGACAATCAGAACATTTATATTGAGGCGGAGTACATGGGAACCAAACAAGGCTGCTTCCGGTATCCATGATAAAGGATAGTTTTTGAGAGTGTGACCCGAAACTTAGAAAAAACGAGTATCCGCCAAATCCATTAGCAAAAAAAGGAATTTAAGCGATAGAAGCAGAAGCAGAAGAGTTGGGGTTGGGGATTTTCAGGTGGTGGGCTCTGGCTAGAGAAGAAGATACGAGGTAGTTTATGGTCCGCAACCGTTGATGTTAGCTGGTTGTGAATTCCGTATTAGGTACTGCAATGTGTGTAGGGAAATTTAGGGTTTATGGTGGAGATCTGGATACCAACTTGGATCGTGATATCACTTTCCGAACTGATATTTCTATCTTATGTCTGGGTTACAAGAAAATCAACGTAGGATAACTCAAGTGGACATTTACGATTCTAGGCACAAAAATCGTAAGCCAATATGCTAGAGGATCCTATGTCTTTGCCCCTTAGACCCTGCCAAAGGGGCGTTGTCCCTTTGGAAACCCCGGACCCAGGGGCGCTGCCCCTGGACCCTCGACTAGTCATCGAATGAGCTTCTAATTCGATCATATATATGCGTGCACTCCGCACAACCCCGTATATATATTAGAGTATAAATTATGAAGCCCTTAGCTCACATGTTAGTTACAGTTACTTAAAATGACATGGTAACACTAAAATCACCAACAAATGTGTTGTGTGAGGGAAAGTTTGAAGGTGGTCTGTAAAGAAGAAGATGATGATGAAGGCGAAAAAGAGAGACATAGGATGGAGATAATAAAGTGAGAATGGAGAGCTGAGACGTAGGTCACGTAGCCATGGAAGTTGGAATTAGTTAAGAAAAAACGGACTGTTGGAAAGGTTTTATTCTTGACTTTTTATTGTGCATTACTACTTATAGCAAACTAAATCTCATTTTTGTGGTGCATAAGTGCATTACTCTTTCTTTTTTCTTTAATAATAAAGATTATATATTCCAAGATTATATGCATTACTACTTATGCATGATTTGGTGGCTGGTGCGGTCATATCTTTGACTCACATACCATCTGATTAGTCCTCTTTCCAAAATCATGAGAGTCTTGTACGTTGTCTTGGATAGGACAATTTGCCTAGAACACATTTCGTTAACCAAAAGAAAGAAAGAAAAATCAAGATGATAAAAACACCAAACCATAAACTAAAGTTACAATTCATCCCCAATTATATATAATTCATTTACTATAGTGTAACTATTTTTTCGAAGTCTATGACTTAAGACTTATCTTATTATAGTCTCGTATTATAGATTAACACCAAATTCATAGCTGGAAAGTAACGTAATGTTTTCCTTTTGGATTCTTTAGTTGCATTTCTTCTTCACGAAACCAAATCTTCCATTTTCCAAATCATACTCCACGTATATATCCTGCTGTTGGTAATTTCCTATGATTATCGACGGCCCACCATTCACCTTTATTGGAAGGATCGTCATACACGCCACGCCGGGCTCCACCTGAGAGAAGTAATCGGCCATCGGCAGTGATAATTTCGCTCCGCCTTCAAAATCAAACATTAGCTCGGGAAACACCGGCGGCTTGTCTCCAATGGTGTAACACAACGGCGACTCCTTATCAGTAGTGTTAATTCTTTTATACTTGTACATTTGAACTTCAAACTCTTTTGCTACAAGATCGTAGATAGGATAATCCATGATCGTGAATGTTGTGCCGGAATCGATGATGGTTCCCCCGTTGCCATCAGATCCGGGCACCAATAAACGATCTGGGATATTTACATCTTTGCCACCGATGGTGATTTTCTGGAGGCTTAAGTAGTAGAATCCTTCAAATCTTGAAGGATTCTTAAGGAACTTAGTGTAGCTGATCATCATACCTCCATCTCCGGCGCCGGAACTTGAAGAATCCCGATAGAGAACAAGCTCACTGCTGACAGTCTGATTGTCATCGAACTGATGAGAGACTAAACAATATGAGAACTTTTTAAGACCCATCTGAGCGGGTAAAGAGTCGGGTCGACGTCCAAACCCGAGAATTCCCTCTGGTAGTCCTGCGGATAAAACTGAGCATCCGACAGCGAAATCAGTGACATCCCCCTCAAGGAGATGCAACGTCTCCGACAGCAGTACTCCGGCTGTTAACCCAGACCCATACACTTGCTCGTAAGAACAAACCTGTTTGGTGGCGTTGCATTGAATTGTCTCAGGTGTCCGAGAGACCCACCCACATTTGGTGTTATTACAACCGAGAATTTTAACAGAGGATGAATGTTTGGGCATGAATACGGGGAGTAAGGAGGAGGAGGAGGAGGGACAATCATAACATGTGTAACGATCAGTACATGGGAACCAGACAAGGCTGCTTCCAGTATCCATGAGAAAGGATAGTTTTTGAGAGGGTGATCCGAAACTCAGAGGAACCGAGTAGTATCCGCCATTTCCCCGAGGAAAGAGAGGGACTTCGGAGGTGGAGTTGTTGGGGTTTTTCAGGAGGTGGGCTCTGGCTAGAGAAGAAGATACGAGGTAGTTTAAGGTCCGAAACAATGGATGTTGGATGGTTTCGAATTCTCCAGAAGGTACTGCAATGTGTTGTGTGAGGGAAAGTTTGAAGGTGGTCTGTGAAGAAGAAGATGATGATGAAGGTGAAAAACAGAGACAGAGGATGGAGATAAGAGTGAGAATGGAGTGATGAAAAGTAGCCATGGAAGTGGAATTAGTTAAGAAAAAGGCGGGCTGGAGACGTGTTTCATTCTTCTTGTGGTGCATTACTGTTTATATAGCAAACTACATCTATTTTTTCCACATCGAAGTACAATTCTCAATGCAACATTTACTTTACTCTTTTATGATAAAAGTTATATATATTTCAAAAGTCTTGGTCTTTTTTTCTTGAACATAGGTCTTGTTCTTAATTAGTATATCACATTTCAACAGATTTCACCTTCGGTTTAATCAGCTCCATATTTTTTTTTATGTATTTTTAATTTTTCTAAATACATATATACATAAAACCAATAATTTGACATTCAAAAACAAAAATCATTATCGTAATTTTTATATATTTTTTATTTTAACGGGTTGATCGAAATCTAATCATTCAAGCACAATAAACCGAATAAAACAGTTTTTTACCAATTTATCACACTGGTTCAACACGGTTTTTAAAGAAATCTTAATGATCGATGTTCCCGGTTCGAAAGACTGGTTCAAACCAGTTTTTAAAACATCATTCCTAATAAATAAATTTTTTTTTGACACATGTCACATTCTTATTTATTTTGTCACGTATAATTTTGTGATATTTTAAATTAATTTTTATTCTATATGTAATTTTCTGGTTTTTTCATTTTATTAAATTGTAGATAGTATTTAAATGCAATAATAAATACAAATCAATTTTATTAATTAACTTTCTTTTTAATTTTCAAAATTACTAAGTTAAATATTCATTAATTTTTTTTATTTATTTATCTAATTTATTTGTTAAATTTAAAAGAGAAAAAAAAACACTTTAATTTTTATAATTCAATATTTTCTCATTTTTCTTATAAATTTAAACTTCTTAAATGTTTAGAATTTTGTATTTAGTTTTTATTTTTTAAATAAACTCATGTAATATATGGATCTCACACCTAGTTAATAATAACCACAAACATTAATATATTTCACTATAAGCTATAATGTATTTTATTTGTTGCGACTTAAATAACCTTCTTGTATCTATGTATTCTTTAAAAAAAATATTACTTTTTTTAATTTAAAACTTAAAAGAAATGGCTCACCCCACTGGTCCTTCACATCCTCTTTCTCATCTCGTATTATTTGAAGACGTCTTGTTCTTAAAGTGTTATTTAAGAGAAGAATATATATATATATATATATATATATATATATATATATATATATATATATATATATATATAGAGAGAGAGAGAGAGAGAGGGATGATTCAATTGAGAAAAAAAAATTGAGAATGGGGAATCATTCTCAGTCACTCATTTATTTTTGCCGTAAGAGCCTCCCTCCTACCAGCAGAAATGGGAAAGGAATAGACATGTGTTTTCCAACAAAACATGTTTCCTTAAACTATGTTAATCATTACTTTAATATATACAAAAACATAGTTTTTTCGTTTTTTTTTAATGTTTAAGAAGCTATTTTTATCGAAAAATTATTTTTAAATATACCAAAATTCATGATTTTTATTCGCTACAAATAGACATCCATATTGATATAGTTTTAAGATAAAATTAAAAAAAAAATTATATTTTCAGCTATCGTTATTCATAAGTGAATAAAAATTAACTAGGTTTTTACTATAGTACATTCGTTATTCAGCTATGAATAAAACTATGTTTAATTTTTTTTTTTTTTTTTTTTTTACAATTTAAGTATCATTCATATATGAATATAGCATATAATAAACATAGTATATTCATATTTAAATATTACATGATGCATTCACTTATGAATATTACATAGTATATTCACTTGTGAATATTAGATGGTATATTCACTTATGAATATTAGATAATATTTTCATATCTGAATATTACAGAGTATTACATAGTATATCACATGTGAATATTACATAGTATATTCATTTGTGAATATTAGATGATATATTCACTTATGAATATTACACAGTATATTCACATATGAATATTACACAGTATATTCGCATATGAATATTACACAGTATATTCGCATATGAATATTACACAGTATATTCACATATGAATATTATAATATATTTTCACAAATATATATAATTTTTATATGTTATTCACATATGAATAACATACAGACTTGCATATTTGTTTTTTTGTTTTAATAATCATATACTAAGAAAACATATTCATATATGAATATAACGTGGTAATTTAATTCATGCATTTCATCAAACAGTTGAAGTGCATACAATTTAATTTTTTTTTTAAATGTTAAAAAATGATATTTTGACTATTTAAATCTTACAAAAGAGTAGATTGATAGAGAATTATATGAAATTTTTCAAAAAAAAAAAAACGATTTGATATTTTTCTAACCTCAATTTTCAAGTTTTATTTGATAATCGATGTTGAATTAATGATATGAAGTGGATTTTTGTTGATTATCGTTGATGTTGATCTAATAACATTGGGAGTATAATTAATTCATAGATGTTGAAGATCTAATCGTATTCAAGCACAATTGAAGGTTGAATTAAAAGAACCAAAAATGAATTTTTGTTGTTAACTGTTGAATCGTGTTGATTATTGACGAAGATAGATGATTGATTAGCACTGGATGATGTTGATGATGGTTTAATTAAAGAAATCTAGATGATTGTTGAAAGTTGGAGAAGAAATTTGGATGATGAACGATGAATGGGTTTGAACTACAGATACGTATTTGAGATTGAAGGTTGTTCTCATATTTACAAGTTTGCCAACGTGTCCTTTTATGCTTGAATAAAATGAGTGGCTGAGAATGATTCCTCCATTCTCAACCTTTTTTATTTTCTCAATTGAACTCACACACACACACACACACACACACACACATATATATATATATATATATATATATATATATATATATATATGAGAAAATTGAATATACATTACAGTCCCACCTAAGCTTAGGTATTAAACCTCATGAAAATACATTGTTTTATTATATAACTAGACGAATCACCGCGTGTTGCGCGAGAATAGTATTATATAGTTAAAATAATAACTTTTACTAAATTATTATTTAATATTTCTACTTTGAAACAAAATGTTAGTACTAAAGCAAACATATAGTTAACATATTAGTTTTATTAAACATTATAATTTAACTTTTAAGTCATTGTGATATATAAAATTATTTGATAATTTTATAAACCATTTAAAATTATGTAAATTATATATCAAATGATTGATAATATAACGGGTAACAAAACGTATGAACAAAAATATAAACTGCAACTTTTAGTAACATAAAAATAGAAAACCATATATTATAACATTTGTATTAAAAAAGATATATATACAACGAATAATAAAAAAATATGAAAAATAAACACTATAAATTTTAATAACATAAAAAACACTAAAACATCTATTATAACATTTATATTAACTATTCATATTTAAATCACAAATCTCTTCAAATACAATAATGTTTTTAATGAGCAAAACTTTACAACCTTATAAAAGAAAGGAAAATAAAAAGTTATTAGTGATTACTAATTAATATTTATAAGTTAAAAAACTATTGAGTTGTAACTAATAAATATATATAAATTAGAAAACTCTTGAGTTGTAGTGTGAGTTTCAAATGAATGCGGTTCTTGGAAATGTATATTTTATTATTATTATTATTATTATTATTATATTCATCTAAATAATTGGTTTTGATGCATCATTTTAATCCCTTCAATTATTAGACATAAAGATATCTAATTATAAAATTATAACATACATAGGTGCATATACATGTTAAACAAATCACATATAATATATATATATATATATATATATATATTATATATATATATATATATTCGTAAATGTCATATGTAATTCTTGTCGTAGTAATATGGATAAATTACTTTCATATTAAGAACATATCATGATAAGTCTATTATAAATTAAATATCAAACGTTCAAAATTATGTTATATTTTAAATATTGTCTTTCAAATATGTTGTGTAGGATAACCCAACAAAAAAATAAAAAATAAACATAATCAAAATAGAAAAACTACAATCAAATAAATAAGAGCATTGAGTGGTTGAATATATAAATAAAGATGTTATATAAACATACATTTAAATCAAAAGAAAAAACTAACATTTGTCAACTTTGCTCAAACAAAAAAACATATATCCATTTTATGAATCTTCATTCTTCATTTAACACCATTCAACCATAGAAACTTGACGACAATTCTTCATTAACCTGCAATCAAAATATTTTTCTTGAAAAAGAAGAATCAGAAAGATATTTGAAGCAAAACATTGATGTTTGGAGAGTCACATTCAAGATTGAGTAATACACACAAATCACATATAAAGATTAAATAAGAAACTGAATATAAAGAAAGAATAGAAAAGTTTCATTTGTTTTGGTTGAAAGGAAAATCATATTACCATTGTCATCGATGCGATATAACCCATTTCTTCAAATCATCATATTTGCATCGTGAATGCTTCAACTATATGAAAACTTTTGAATCACAATATCTTCAAATCCTTCTTACATGTAAGATTTTATATAACATAAAACATACAAAAGATTGACCTTTTTATAGTAAAGTTTTCACTAAATGATAATTAAACATAATATAAGTTATATAACTTTTGAGTGTTAAATCATAATTAAGAAAACTTTTGAGTTGCATTAGTTAAAAAAGGGGGTTTCAAATGAATGTGGTTTGAGAAAGTTAAAAAGGGGTTTCAAATGCATGAGATTCAAAAAAAAATGCTAGCATTATAAGTATGTATGAAGATTGCGGTTAGTAAATTCACGATTATCACTTGAAGATATAGATTCAGATTGACACAATAGTTTTGATAAGGAAGCAAAAATATTGATTATCGAGGATGATATATTTACCAAGTGAAAACAAAACCAGTATATTTAATAAGTTAAAACGACATATTTTAAAGGTTTTGTATCTAAGCTTAGGTGGTGCTGTAATGTATATTCTCTCTCTCTCTCTCTCTCTCTCTCTCTATATATATATATATATATATATATATATATATATATATAGAGAGAGAGAGAGAGAGAGCG